ACAGCTAGCACTGGTTTTTGTTAGCTTTTGCCTTTCTTATGATAACACCAAAGGCAACAGCTTTTTTCGCGTCAAAGTTTTCACTTATTCTGCCTCTTGCCTCCTCGAGTTGATTTATATCGGTCATTTACGATATCTACATATATTTATATATAAACTACTTTACTCCAAATGATTGAATACCTATCTTTATGTCTGGATCATATAATACTTCTCATTCAATAATTATTAGGGAAGGGAAAAAACGTTGACCATTTTCGGACTTTTCCGGTGGGAATATTTGTTCAAGCTTATCTTAAATATTACTTTCCACACATACAAATTATTGTGGACTTTTGATGAACTAGGCAATTATGATGATGCTTCTCAGCTTCCATCTATCATATTTGATCTTCATCTTTATTTCAGCCTCATATTTCATAATTACTCCTTGTTCCAGTCCGCTTATGCTGTATCTTAACTGTCCCTAATTCTGGCGCTCCTGACGTTTCCATTGATACTGCTTCTAACTACTTTTACTTTCTATCGATCCTCCTTGTTTTATTGATAATGAATCTAATGCGAATCTACTTATTCATGTTCCAATGTGACAGCAATGCTTCCGCACATACCAACATATATCTTTTAAGTTCCTAAAGAAGGCTTTAAATCCAAAACTGCTTCCTATCTCTTCGACTCTTCACAATACCAAACTAGAAGATTTTGTCCACCATCACAAATATTACTCTTCTTATTGCTAGCATCGAGAGACTATCTATACTACCCTAGAGAGCAATGTTTCATCTCTTTTCTTTGTACTGCTCGCGGTTGTTATACTCTACATGTTTTTTTTTGGACCTCAGCAGGTATATTTCTCTCAACCTCCGGCGAAACTCCACCCTCGAACAGCGGGCACTACAGCAACCCTTCTTCTACGAACGGTTGTTCCTTAACACGACCGAACTTGCCCCATAAATTGCCATCAGACACCTTTCAAGGTGAGTTTAATTGTCTCGCTTAAATTATTTCGTTTAATCCCTATTAATTTGTCAAGCATCCTTATTAAAGACTAGCATAGAGACCGGCAGGACAGATTGAGCAATCACATGATCTATAATTGATGTCAACCCTCCATGATAATTCGATTGTTCTTATGCTAATTAGTCAGGGAACAGTTAGAATACACAATGATAGATTGGTGATTGCTCACTTTGTGCACAGATTCTATCGTCCGTTTGAAAGCGCGTCTAAAACTGGAAATCGTGAAGACTTCATCACTTGCCGAATACATTTCTCTATTCTTCGTTTTGAATTCAGCATTCTCTTTTCGCCTTATACTTTTAAATAATTAATTTTAATTAGATAACCCAGCCTTAGTTTCAGCTAAGTGGGGTAGAACACAGTCTAATGGATTCGGTTATTCGGTATCATAAACCTATGCATTTAACAGTCTTTTTGATTGGATGTGGTATTACTTTTCCCAATTATATAATATTATATATATGCATATATATATATATATATTTATTTATTTATATATTTATATATATATATATATATATATTTATATATATATATATATATTTATATATTTATAGTAAAATATAATATAATTAAGAAAAGTAATACCGCTTTTAACCTGCTTTCAGCACAGCCTTTCGTTTTGCCAAGCAATAAAAGCCTGGCACCATAAACTGAATGAACAGCATTGTTAGCCTTGCACACAATTGCCCAAACATTCCTCAACCCTTTCATGCCCTTTGGATATTTTAGTCATTAAATGCATTATTCCTACTCATTCTTAGCACTCAATTTGACCGCTGGTTTACATGACTAATAGAGTTGTGGTAAAAATTTACTTTCTCTATAATAGTGTTAAATTTTTATGATTGGAAGGAACCGGCCTAGAACCCCCATTCTGCTTTTTATAGATAATTTGACTGGTAGCATAAGCAGCTACCCGAACTAGATGACAAGAAAATGAGGTTTATTGTTGCCTAAGCAATGCATATCCTAGAGCTCTTCATTAGTGTCGTCATCCTTTTCAGCGTTACTATATATTGGTGTCGAGTCTTATCTCTTATGGAACAATGCTGCAAAGCGAACTTCGTTTGAAAGCATTAACTCCTTTCAACTGAGCCTGGCGATTATACGGGCGGATACTTGGTCATGATCATTTGGGACGTCAAAGAACTTCTTTATTAGTACAGTGTTTATCTAATCATGGAGACAGGCAAAACTAATACTTTATATAAAAATTTATTCTAAATTTGGATGAAGACCAAAATTATGTGTTCTATAGTTTTGTTTCAATCTCCTTTCATCGCATAAGCTTTGTTTGACCCCATTTTGACAACTTGATCGTGTTTTCATGGTTATCTCGATGGGTGTACATTGTCCAGCGTCTCGATAGTACTAATCATTTCCAGTGTCGTACCTTCGACATGCCACTTTGCCAGACGTTTCTCTGGCATTTTAGTCTTCGTTTGTGAATATTGCTGGTCTTAGAACCAAACTACAGCACGCCAAAGGTGCAAGTGAAGTCCATTCGTTAACTGAATTTCTGTCCCGATACACACATCTATCGCAACTTTTCACTTGTCTCTTCTCACTAACTCCAGAGGTTCGGATTTGTTTATGTCTTCTCAGTTTGAAAGATATATTTGATTCAACAACTATCGAATCCAGCCTCGTCTCTTCGATAATCTGCTTTTTATCTCTTGGCTCACTGTTTTCATTCGGCTTCTTCCATTTCATCCGTTTTACTGGAAGCTTTGATGCCAAATCCGCCTCAAGCATTTGCTATCCTGTATACTGTAGCCTCATCGAGTCAAGTTCTGAAGCCCTGATTCCCAGACTTGTTGATATCACCCGAACACTATTTTTCCACCTTCGATACGTATACTGATTCGGCAAGTGTCATGATCAAGCATTTACTTCACTGTCCCTCCACGATTTTGTCCATGTACTATGAGCTAACTGAGAACTTATCTATCTGGACCTTGTTGTATCTCTCGAGCAGGCCTATTCATAATGCCAAATTTCTATGATGGTTGTGTTTCTAATTCTCCATTTGTTTCTGCACTAAACCTCTTCCGATTATGGCTATTTCCTTGGTTTAGCTACACTCATCGTAGATGTCTTTTGATCTACCATTGTCGCTGCATTTTATACACTAGACTCCCAAGCAATCCAGTTTGTCCACCTTCTCAGGTTGCTTGGGTAAGCCTGTGAAGTGTTGTATTTTTCTTCGAGTTCACCTTAATTTGGTTGGTAGTTTATGATTCATTTCACCGCAGAGTAGGCATTTCCACTTTTGGGCATCTATCTTACTCTTTATGTTTCCTTTTTATAATCTCCGGCATGCTATCTCTTTCTTACAACCCTTGTATGTTTTTCATGGTCATTTAGGAATTTTATTCAGTGACCACACTTTGACAGTTGTGCCTCACTGATTGGCTGTCACTTGTATGCACATTTACTTATCACATCACCATAAAGTCAATACTTTCTAGTTGGATTTTCGTTTATGCTTCTTTAATCTTGCGATAATGTTATGGGCAAAACTTCTCTTCTTCAATTCACCCTTAGCTTCCCTTGCTCTTCTTTTGCTAACTTTTCCTCTCCTCAATAACTTCAGCCTTTATGCCACTTGAGAGGCTTCCCGAACTTT